TGCCCTTACACTGGGCTTGTCTTTTTCCGCTAACGCCGGCACTCCGAAAGGGGAAGCTAAGGATGTAAAAGCCGAAGCCCCTGCGCCGAAAGCAACATCTACGGATGAAACCCTTTACTATTTCCCGATTAATCCCGCTGGAACGACATTTACGATGACGACCGTTCCTGAGGACCAAAATCAACCGTCATGCAGCGGCTCTTCCGGTGATTATTGTGAAGTTGGCTTGACAATTGATCAAGTTGACATTGCCGCTGGCCAAGCCAGTCCTAAGAGTTTGGTAACTCCATCACAGGGTATCCGGTCTCAGTATGAGTAAAACTCAAAATTTTAAGCATTAGTACCTAGGCAGTCAGACATTGCTATCTTGCATTTTCTGACTGCTTATTACTTAAAAGTCAGAAATTCTCAATACTCCTCGGCTAACTATTTTCTCTGTTACCTTTAATCCTATCTCATTAAGCGATTTATTTAAGGTTTCAAAATTGTAGTTGTGTGGCAACTTTATTGTAAAATCAATTAAATAGTTAATTTTAGTATTGTCAATTATTAAGGGATAATTTTTACGATCAAGTATTGACAATAATACTTTAAGCTCTATATTTTTAAACTCAAATTCATCAAAATCTCCATCAACATTTTTACTGTAGCTGCTTTTCCCACCTGCAGACTTCAACACTTCGGCATTAATACTTTCTAAAAAAAGACATTTGACTTGCTGGTCTACTATGCTAGCACTGATATTAAAATATCTATCAATGTCATGTTTCATAAAATCAAACGCATCATTAGTTGTTCTATTTGGCGGTAAAATCAATTCATAACAATAAGCCCTTGCTGATAATTGTTTGTAAAAGTCAGGCCCTTTAAGCGGCCTCATAAAGCTAGCAGAATCCTTAACCGTCAAATAAAGTTGCTTATTATAATGATCCGTAGGCGAACCCTTATAAATAGCCATTTTTACTAGTTCGGCCTTAGTTAAGTTTGGAAAAAAAAGTCGCATATGCTTTTCCGTTTTAAAAACACCATTGGCTACAGTCTGGGGTAAGCTACCAATATATGGAGTGATCAAAGACCTATAACTAAAAATGCTGTCGGGACCGCCGTTATCATTTAACAATAGTGGTACTTCTGATTTGAAATTGCTTTGACTATGCTTCTCAATCAAACCTGAAAAGTCCTTATTTAATACTTTGGAAATCACATTGTCATTTACAATCATTCCTGGGGTTATTCCAATCAAAATGCCGTTCTCATCAATCCAAATTTCCACCGGGAATCCATTTTTTAAAATAGGAAACAGGTCATAAAAGTCACTATTTTTAGGGTCAATATACGCCACCGGTAAGGCTATTTTTTGTCCCTTTGCCTCCTTCATTGAAAGAAAATCAAGTACCCTATCCTTCGGACTCCCACCTTCCAAAGCGAGAATGTTCAGGCTTCCTTTGAATTTATCCTGAAGTTCTGCAAACTCTGGTAAAGCTTTAATACAAGGAACGCAATAAATGCTCCAGCAATCGATAATAAGAAGCTTCCCTTTGTAATCTGCCAATTGCATTTTAATGTTTGAGCCGTTGAGCATTTCAAATACCATATCTGGGACGGTATCCCCAACCTTTAATGCTTTGTACTTATTCTGCCCATAACTAGCAATAGAAATGATGAGTACAAAAGCAAGCATTGTAAAAAGCTTCTTCATGCCTATCTCAAATTTTGTTGAATTCCAGTTAGTGCAATTACATCATTTGGGATGGGCCAGGTATACCGTGGGTCATTAGGTGGTAACTCATAGATTTGGCCGTTGACTTTTCTTACCAATGTTTTTGCTAACCTTGAGTCTTTGTTCAATCGCTTTAAATCTGTTAATCTGAGCCCGCGCATAAGCAATTCCTTTCTACGCTCTTCCAATACCAAAAACAAGGCATCATTTTCATCAGTGAGGGTATAGGGAACAAACGTGGTTATACCATTAACAATTTTATACCTAGTTTTAAGTAAATCATTTAGGTACTGAATACCCCCGACAACATCCTTTTGCCTCACCAAACTTTCCGCAAGGATCAAATAAACCTCGTCAAGTGCAATACCGAAAAAAAGGCTTCCTGTACCATCGTAACTTCCTCGAAACGAATATGCGTTAGTTTCCCGTATTCTAAAATACAGATCCTTTCGCAAATCATTTAAGGCATAGGATTTGTACAATGAAC